AAACAAAAGAAAAAAAATTTTTTTAGCTATCTGTCCTCTTCAGCAGAAAGAACAAAAATACATACTTTAGCAGGTGTACCAAGGCCACAGGCTGACCACTGCCTCTTCTACCCTGCCCAAATGCAGTTCAGGAAACACACAGCTGCACCTCAAGATTCAGGGAGGATTGATTCCAAACATTTTTGACTGCAGCTATGATGCATAAAATTAAAAGCATAATTTTTTGAGTTTAAAACTCTAGTAAACTCAGATAACCATGTGGGGATATATACTTCATATATTTTGCATTATTATAATGCAAAAATATTTCTACCCTGTTTCAAACTCTGATCTGACATACAATGTGGGAACTATACACACAGAATAGACCTTTCCTAATGGAAAACCTTATTTAATGTCTTCTTTCTGCAACAGATGTATATCTTTCCTTTCCACACAATCCCAAGAAATCTGTTAACTACATAACACAAGTATTTTCTTAACTCTAAGTACCATTTGTAGCTGTCTGTCTCTGGAGTATGGTTCACTAATAGCATTCTCTAGCCCTCTACCTCACCAGTGCAGTGTCAGATGTGATAGGGTCTAGGCAGTGGAATTCAAAAGAGGCTAGTTACAATTCTGTCATAGTGCCAGATGTATATATAAATCTCTCTAATTATAAGTGTTTGAAATATAGATGGATCAAATGGCTTTATGGTAATGTAAAGCTCAGAAATTGAAAATGTTTAGAAATTTGGTTATTATCTATGGCTTTGTGCCTCCCTTTCTTTTAGGAAAGTCAAAGGAAAAAAGAACTAATTTCCCAGTGGAAAAGTAGCTATTATGAAGTCTTCAGAATGAACTAATTTTCCATTTTCTTGCAACACATCAGGAAAACACACTAGCTAGCAATATTTCTGTTAAAAAAGAATCTATTTTAAAATGTTTAAATAACACCTGTATATTATAAATAATATAAATAGTATATATAATGTAAATTATATATATATAAATAATATCCCTTTTCTGCTGAACGGGTACATAGAGTTTGCACTGTGCTTGAGGACATATTTATGATTTCTGACAAGTTCAAGTACAGAGGGAAATTAAATACAATGAACCCTGATTTTGTGTACTAACTGGAATGAATGCATAAATGTACAACTGCGTGTGCATACATCTGTCATAATATTAGCAATTATATACTACCTGTATTCTGAAGACAAAGGGCCTCTCCTTCCCCTGTATGACCTTGATGCCTAAAGATTTTTAGGCATCAACTTCAGTTTACAGTGAGATAACTCAACTGTCAGCATATGCCTAAAATTAATGTACTGGCTAGTATGGATGCAAAATAATAATAATAAAAAATCCCTTAATTATCCTGTGGAAATACACCCTTTTTTAGGTAGTAACTTTTCTTTTTATCTTAAGAGTGTATTTTTGGGCATTGTCTTTGTAATAATAAATACCAAGCAAGTTGGGGATCAAATAATAATTAGTGGGTAATTAGAAGATAGGTGTTTCTCACTAATCAGTAAATGATACTGGTTTTAAATTGTATTATAAGTGGATTTGCAGCTCACCTGCATAGTTCTCTAACAGCTCAGTACAGGGATACCTCTGAGTTTCTTCCTAAAGAACATTTCCCAAGATCTTCCCCACGTAACTTAAGCAAAAAGGATGAGCTGTCAGAGATGAGGTCATTTAGTAAGTTACAAGAAAGGATGGTGGCTCTTATTTAGCCCTGGACATTGGAGGTTTTTTTTCACTCTTTCTCACACCTCAACATTGACAAAGATATCATTGACTTTATCTGGAGGTATCACAGAGCCCACAGCTGTTCCAGCCTTCAGCATACATCTACAGGTAGTTTAAGCCACAAACATTAAATAGTTACATTATGATAATATTTTTTATATGTGTTTACCAGTCTGGAAGCAGTTGTGATGTTGACTGGACAGACTTACAGAGCACACCTCAGTCTCTCCAACAGTCATGAGTGGTGTTCATCTTATCCCTACTATCCTCCCAGAAAACCCACTCAAGATTTTAAATTATTTGGTGGCAACAAGCAGGCACTGTTAGTCTCCCAGGTGTTAACACTGGTCACCTACAAGCCAACACAGCACAGCAAGTTTGCCCTGCCTTCTGTGCTCCTGCAGGAGCACCCAGGTAGGTGGCTTTGTAGTCAGGAGTTGAAAACGAACTAAACCACTGCAACCATACAGTTGCCATCTGCATATTATTGTAAGCATCATGGCTCCTGTCACTTTTATCTGACATTGTAGAGGTTAGACACAAGATAAATTGTATCTGATTTACACTCAGGGAAACAGACAGGTTGGAGATGTTTGGACCAGCCAGTAATTCATGTAGACAAAGTCATTTGATGCTTGTGTCAATAAACATACCAATAACTCAATTAAATATGGTACTGTTTGTGAGGCAATTTCATCAGGAAAACGTCAGTGTACTCTTGAGGATTGACATCACAATTGAAAATAATTGTGAAAAGTTTCAGCTCATTGAGTCCTGCAACAGCAGGTGATTTTCGTAGCTGTTTCTATGACAGGAAAAAGTAAATAAAGTTTTTCCAGTGCCTAGTCTTACCCTTTTACTGTTTTATGTAATGAAATCTGAATCAGATTTCTCTAGTGAACTTAACAACTCTTGATTCCCTTTCCTAGTCCAAAACACTTTTGTCTTCAAATAATTATTTAAAACATTTTGCATAAGTCACATTATACAACAATGTGGCTTAGCATGGATATTTTCGCATAGAATATCATGAAACAAAACCATTAAAAATGCTTGTTTGCAGGTTTATATTTCATATGTATAACCCCCCCCCAAAGAAAGTACCAGAAAAACCCCATGTTTCTACAAGTACTCCTTATTTTTACCTTGATTGTTTCCTCTTTCTTTCCAAATACTCAGTAATTTATCTGGTATTCTATATTTAGTATTTTATTTTGGCTTATTTATCAGTCATTCAACTATATGTCTTAAACAAACTTATATAAGATAGAAAATTCACGGGTTTTCAGATACACAAATGTTTCTTATGACTGAATAAAAGCAGTCTATCCAAAGATTTACTTGCTTTTTACAGCTTTACTGGTTGATCTGGCAGTAAGTATTACAACTATTTCCAAACTTTGCTTTACTTATGTCTTTAAATCATGACAACTATAACACTAATGTCTAATATGTCTTCATTAGAGTATCCAAAATAGTACTATTTCAGATAACATTATATCCTAGAAAAAAAACCAACAACATAAAACCACAACAAAATATATTGCTTTGAAGAATCTAAAAACTTAAATTAGTTATTATCTAACAACTAGACATGAATCACTGATAGTACTACTGTATAGTCTTCTGTATGATTGTATCTAATTTTTTAAGAGATTCTTAACTGATTTTTTCAGGATAAATTCAAAATTTGTCATCCCATTGAAACTTTATTTTCAACTTTTTTTAAATTGGTGTTGATTTTTGTACATAGCATTATAGATCTTTATGCAATTCCATTACTCTAGTCCTTGAGCTCAGTTATTTTTCCTGTACAATATGCTTCTCCACGCTCATTGACTTTGTGTCATCAGCACTTTCAGGACCTGGAAGGTGGAAACCTTCTCCATATACAACTGTGTCATCTGCAACATGACCAAGTTTGAGACTACAGCTTACAAATCCTTTGAGTCAATGTTTTCCAAAGAAATTTAGTAGATTCATTTTTCTCAGATGATCTGAACTTTTTGCACCAGCTGGGCTACTTGTAGAGGAATTGTCTAAGATATGAAGGAAGGTCAGTCAGTACAAAAGGATTGTGGAGATTATGAATTTCTATTTGTTCTTTCTTTACTGAAAAAGTGTAATATGATGTGCTTTGTCGCTAACTCTTTGTTTTCACCTATCTTACCTAAGTACCAATGTCCCATTCAAGCCAATAGCTTTTAACATGCATTTACGTCAATTAGATGTTTATGGTATGTATCCTTTCTAAACCACGGAAATTGATACAGAATGGACCTTACTGTGTAAGGCCCATTTCATATTGAAACCTGGAAGGGAGTCACCAAAGAAGAAGTTCTACCACAATGAAAATGCAGAACACTTTATTTTCCAGATTACAGGTAGTCTCATAGTCCAAGAAGATGAAACCATGCTCTGTTTAACAGACAGACACAATCAAACTATCTCATAACTAAGAAAGGAACACAATGAATATTATGGTGAAATATTTGTCTGAGTCCCTGTAGGAATTTAAAGGCAGTTTGTCAGCAAGCGTTTACATTCTCCACACAGCAAAAATCATGGTGCAGTCAGAGATCATCTGAAGATAAATCCTGCAGGGTGGGACTGAATTCAGGAGGTGATGGATGTTTCTATAGGGAACCTCCTGAAATTACCTCTCCAAGTGATGTGCAACTGGTATCCAAGGGCTGGAACTGGCACGTTCTCAGAAACAGAAGTTACCTGCATAAAGCAGAGACCTTTCTGACATAAATGTAATAAGAGTAGATTAAATAGTTTGCTGGGGGTTTGTTTGTTTGTTTTGTTTTAGGGTTTTTTGCATAAAACTTTTTAAACAGTGGTAACTGCATTGTCTGTCTGGGATGTTATGAATACTGGTAATTTCTACTTGCCTTTATCTGTTTTGATTTCAGTGTGGTCTAAGACATTCAAACAACAATAAAATATTTCTTACCTACAGGAAAAATTGGACCTATTAACTGGGGAACAGGGCAATTTTCCATGCACTTTCACATCCAGAATGTCTTCGGAAGCATTCAGTTGGCACCAGAGTGGGTCTTCTGGTTAGCTGTATGGCCCAGTAATAAGGAAGCGACACTGAAGGAAGGCAGGAGAAAATTCCAATAAAATTAGAAACACTGAAGTTTCTTTGGCCTGCAGGAAATTATTGGTGTGATACATGAACATTGCAGATCATAGAGAGCATGTTACAACCTCATTCACTGTGTTTTTTACTTGTCTTTCCTACTGTGAAGGCTGTGTATTTCAGCTTCCACTGGGCCATTTGCAAAACATTTGTCACAGCATGTTCTGCACTTGATAGCCATAGGAATTGTATATGCTTTCTATAGCATCATGCCTCTATAATCCCTTGGTATTTTGGATACTTTTCATTTCTCTGCTCAGCACTTATATTTGCCAGTTTGCTCCCCCATGTTGTAATGACTTCTTTTTCTCAATTTTTACCATTAGTGCACATATCCATTTTCTTGTTCGGTTACAGCTCTCACTGGCTATGTCTATGGTTTGGCTGTAGATTAAATCCAGATTCTGCTGGAATAGGAACACTCCCACTACATGATGCAGAGTGCTGATAAACTTACACTTGAGCCAGCAAAGTAAGTTTACAGTGCTCCAAAAATGTTGATGAGATGACTTTGTGCCAGCTAACTTTATGCTAAGTCAGGACTGTCTGACCATGCCAGATCTCCCACAGCTAGTGAACCTCCTACAAATGGGCTGCGAGCCTTCATAGCCCCTTCTTGCTTTGTTTCTGCCTGCTTGCCCAGAGTCATTGCCCTTGGAAGCAGCCTTGCATCTTTTATATGCAGGAACAGGGCCTTTTAATTCCCTTTGTCTTTGGTTTCCATCTATAGTCATGGACCTAGCTGTGGATCTGCCATGCATTGCGCCTCTGTGTTGGCCCACTGCCTCAGACTTTGCCACTGCCACATGATTGAATGTTAGCTACAGCACCATGGTTACTATCACAAAGACAGGGGCAGGATTTGAGCCAGATCAAGGCCATGTGTGCCTCATTTGCACCAGCCCAGATCCCACTGTGTTTATCCCAAGCCAGAACGAAGGTAGGTAGATCTAAAACAGCTGCTAAGGCTCTTGAGAGAGATTCTTCTCAGGTCTGCTTTTGCCAGCATGTGCAAAGGGTCTGAGTGCTGTTATGGCTGTGCATTATGTTTACTTTGCCTCCCAGAGGACCATAGCATTTCAGAGTCCTGCCCTGCTGTTTAACAGTTAGCACTCTACATGGATTTGGTCTCAGCCAGCTGAACTTCTCACATTGGTTTGGAAAATACCACTGGCCAGGGACCGGCTCAGGAACCACAATCGAGGCCTTCGTTTTTCACCTATAAAGGAGGGAAAATTTTAGCCATCCAAACCTCCTATGTTCAAGGCCATGGCATAGGCCCTGATTTTGCTTTGTTTATTGGTATAGGACTAAAAGGACCAGACTGTTTGACTAGAGCTGAAGGCTCTGAAGAAGGGTTAATATGGACTCAGGATAATAATGGCCGCATAGATGATGGGAAGACATTCTGCAGGTACTATGAAAAGCTTGCAACTGCCTGACTGCAATGTAGTCAGATGCAGAGGTTTGAGATTTTGAGCCCCCTGTCTGTTGCCGTCTTTGAGGAAACAAGGGAGCATCTGAGGACGCTGGATCATTTTTTAAGGCCTTTGAGAACAATTTCTTTTTTTCTTATCATTTTCTAAGCATACAGCTTGGTCCTAGGCAGTTTTCCAATAGAACCATCTAATGTTGCTGGCAATTCTGTCCCTGCTCTTTTGTCAGTGACTGGGAACTGGCCTTATGCTACTTAAACCCTTCACTCTCAAAAAAAACTCTCCCAGTCCAAGACCTAGTGTATGTCACATTTGAAGGCTTTAACTTCTTGCTATGCTTGTTTCACTCTGGTAAGTTGTGAATCACAGCTCCATACCTTTTCTTTCCACAAAATGCCCTCTCTGGCTTATTTTACTGGAGTTGTATAGTAAACAATATTAAATTTAAAAAGTCGATACGCACATACCTAAAGAGCAAGAATGATGAATTTTCCAGCTCATAAAGAGTACTTGGAAAGGGAAAAGAGATTGGACTTCTGCCCATCTTTATCATTACTTAATATTCTCACTGCAGCTGACGTGTTAGCAGTTAAACAGCTATACCTCGACTTGAGATAGGTACTAGTATGCCGAGATATTTCCTGGGATAATAGGCTTCTCCATGAAGGACATTTTTTTCTGCCCAATACATTCAGTATTTTGGAGCATTTTGTGCTATATTGGAAGGTTGCATGCTGTTGAAAAAGTATTTGCATACCCCTGCAGTTACATGAAGCAGAGAGAATTGTTTGCCAGAGGTAACATCTGCATCTGATGGTCCCCATGATTCATTATGGGTCTGTCAAAGTCTTTGTCCTCCATGTACTGGACACAGCCATGGAAGAGTCTGGAGAGAGCGTGCAGCAGCTACAAACTCTTCCCTCCTCCATTCTCTCTGGGACACCAGCCAGAAACAGGATCGCATGAACAAAACCTATCATTACCAGAACTGATGCAGAGGACATGTCAGCTGGCATCTATGATAGCCTAGAGCAAAGGTTGCTTATTTGGCTGCGGTATGTACAATGACCATTTTTGTTTTCTGTTTAAGCAATGTGGGCATCTGTAGTCAAAGTCAGCTGCCTGGGCACATGAGCCTTATCTATAGCCAAGTAGACAGGTAATCCATGAAATTAAAAGTAAGGGAGCAGCAAAGAGAGTACTCAAGCAACCATGGTTTGGCCCAGAGGAGACGTACTCTTCTGTTATTGTCCTGGGCCAGAGCCAAATGACAGCTGCAGCTGCACTCAACTACTTGCATACTAGCTCTGAAGAGGACAAAAGACAGAAGACAGCAGTGGTACGTTATGAGAGACCTGGCACAATGTGTGGGAAGATCTTTACTGACATCTGGTTCTTGCTCAAACACCTCACACACTCTCAATACTGAAGTCACCTACTTCATGAGCACAGTTTCCCTCACACACTTTCCTAAGCAAACAGTCCACTTAATTTCTATTAGCTTCCAGAGATCAAAACCCAGTAGAATAAAAACAGGCTGCAAGCGATGCCTACTGGGATTAAGTCTGGTTCTGTCATCCTTGGAGCTATACTCTAAATTTTTCACAGCTTCTCTTATGTTCTTTTCTAGCATCTGTTTTCCAAAATCCTTTGTTTTAAAGTCTTTCTACTGTTACCCTTGACAAACTCTAAACTGTATTGTTATTTCTAAAGTTAGGATCCCATAGCCTCCAGGGTTGGGATGGAAAAGCCCATTCATCTGGGATTGAAAAGATGGTAGTAAGAACTATACTGGTAGAATCCGCAGAACAAAAGGGACTGTAGGAAAAAACAACAGAGACAAAAAAAAAATTAAAAAAAAGGAAAAATGATGTTGTTTCGTGGGGCTTCTTCTATGTCATCAAACTGAGTTGCTACTTGAGACCGTGGAGATATATGAAAAAAAATCTTGCAAGTATAGGGCTGAAGGGGTGTGTACAGAAGCAAACCTGATATTGTATCTTTTATACCACTTATTAGGATAAGTTTCTGAAGTGATTTTTTCCTCAGAGCCAAACCACAGAGAGTCTAGCTAGTTCATCCCAAAAGTCCACTCAGGAATGAATTGGTGTGTACACAGAATGGATGGCCATCACATATCCAACGGAAAGGGTACTGGAAGGTTCTAGATCTGCCAGAGCAAGACTGAGGCATGTGTTCAGCAGCCAAAATTTTAACTGCTTTATCAGTTGCCCAGGAAGGTGACTGAGACGTTACTTTAGTCTTGCAAGGAGAGGTATAAATGCAGCCTGGTTCAGCAAGACCTTCAAGTGAGATCATCCCAAAAATGGTGACTGATTTTGCAAACAGAAGCTGAGTTACCCCAAAAAACTGCCCAAGAATTTATCACATTCTACTGAGATCGACAGCCCACAGCTCATAAAATGGGCAAGTGGATGCATTACATGTTGTGATCCTCAGGTATCTAACCCTGATCTCTTATTGGTACAGAATCATTGTTGTGTGGGCTCCCTAAATGATATAAGTATTGCTATGCCTTCAACTGGATCACATCTGTGTTCCAAAACATACTATTGTACATGCAAACCACATGCATTCAGAAAACACACAATAGCCTATTGGAGTGTACAGGCTATTCCATTATGTGACCCCATACACACCATGACAATTTTGTAAACAAGGGAAAAAAACAAAGTTAGAGACTTTTGATTTTTAAAATCTATGTGCAAAACATAAACTTTATTCACGTTCTTGTTTCCTGTGCTGCCTTTTCAGTCTTACTTCCTTTGCTTTCCCCCTCATCTTTAAGATAGATAGAGTAACGCTCTTCTAGTGCAAATTATCCTTCATTGCTGCTGGTTCTTCACTGCTTGGGCTTCTGAAACATCTACCTGAGTCAACCTTACCCTTCGTCACACAGCTTTGACAGCTAACAAACTGTTAACACTGTTGGCAATGATTAAAAGCAGAAAGGCCTTTTCACCCCTCAAGCTGCAAGATGTTTTTCCTGCTCACAACACACAGTCCCAAACAGACTATGCAAACACAAACTTACAGCCAAACCACAAATCTGACAAACTGCAATCAAACAAACCATTACTCAACAGATAAGCAAACAAATTAATTTGCTCCCAGGGAACAAGGACTTATTCCTTTCACACTAGCAATTACACAAGAAACTTGCTCTTTCATACACTGCAATCTGACTTTACTGAGAAAAATGAAATGTGGGTTAAGAGAGCTCTGAAAATATGTGCATTTTTTCTGCCCCCTCTGATGAGGGCTTAATTACTCCCTGAAAGAGAAATAGCTTCAATAGATACCTTCTGTGCTCACAAATGTCCTGAGCAGTAAGAAGTTGAAAACTGGGATGGTTTTTTGAGAAATATTTTTATAATTCTTATCTGGATATCTGCTGTCAACTTTCATCCGCTACTGAACCAGATGGGCCCAGCGTCATTGCTGGTGTTTATAAATCCTGGCAAGGCATGAACAGTCCCTTCCCATCCCGTGTATCTTTTAGCTATAGGATGAAGACCCTTTCCCATAACGCATGTGATGTGGCTTAAAATCAGTTTAAGGAGAACATGAATCTGTAGTCAAGTCTCCTGAGGGTACATGAATGTTATAATATGAAATATGGAATAATAATATATGGAAACAGTAAGCTACAACTAC